GCCACTGTCTGGGTAACAAAGTATCTCCTCACCTCAATCATAAATGATCTACCCTGTATCCATAATCTGTAACCGCTAGTTCTGGACTCCCTAGTAATCTGAATATCCTTCCTAAATTTATCCCATCTGGTCGTGTTAGAATTTTGTGTTTCAATGAGATCCCCTCTCATTCTTCTAAACTACAGTGAATATAGTCTGACTCAATCTAGTCTGTCATCTTAAGTCATAGAGTTGTACAGCACAGAAACAGACCCTTCGGTCCAACTCGTCCATGCTGACCAGACATCCAATACTGATCTAGTCCCACTTGCTAGCATTTGGGGCCATATCCCTTCCGACCCTTCCTGCCATCCTGGGAATCAGTCTGATCAATCTTTGTTTAATTCCCTCCATAAACAGGACATCCTTCCTCAGATAAAGAGACCAAAACAACACACACTATTCCAGGTTTAGTCTTACCAAGGCCCTGTATAATTGCGGCAAGACATCCCTGCTCCTGTACTCCCATCCTCTTACTATGAAGGCTAACATACCATCTGTCACCTTCACCATCTGCTGCACTTGAATGTTTACTTTCAGTGACTGGTGAACAAGGACACCCAGGTCTCATTGCACCTCCTCTTTCCCAATCTATCACCATTCAGATAATAGTTTTGGCTACCAAAGTGGATAACCACACATTTATCCACAATATACTTCATTTGTAATATATTCATCTACTCACTTGTCCAAATCACACTGGAGCATCTCTGCATCCTTCCCATTCAGCTTTGTGTCACGTGCACACTTGGAGATATTACATTTATCTAAATCATTAATATATATCAAATGTAGCCACCAGAACTGCCAAATCTAGGATCTTTGATACTTGATGCTCATCTAATAAAGTCTTTAGTGTTAGCAGATTATTATTTTGCAATTCATCAATCATGATTACCCCATGTTCTCAAAATGTGTCCCTAACTTCAGTGATTGAAACCACAGATTTCTGCATTTATTTCTGTCTTGCAAATTCCAGAAATGTCTGATTAGGTTTATTTCTCATAGCTGTAAGATTTAGGTCACAATTGGTCTCCAGTCCCAATAGTTATTTGTTTAAGGTAACAGTAGACAAACTGCTGTGGTAACTCAGGAAACTTTACTTAAGTTATAAAATAATGCTTATTAAAGCAGTACCTTTACAGACTTGCTACTATGCTTGCTTCCCAATTTTGCTTCGAGTGCATCATTGACATTTGGTTGCTGTCCAGTGCCTTTGGGTTTTCTACTTCCAATGAGACATCAGACTGTATGAACTTCAATTTCAAACGTAGGATGTATCTGGTTACTAGAGCTCATTGCTTATTATCTCTTCCCAAGCCACAACCCTCACCACGATTATTACATTCTAATTGGTCTGGGTGAGGTGTTTGTTGAGGCTGATGGGCATTAATTGATGTCACCTCCCACTATTATTTAAAATTGATGAGATATTGTGTAAACTGTCAGTACTTCAAGTTGAAAAGGCACTAGGACAGGATGGCATCCGAGAATATTTGAAGGAAGTCAGAGTGCAAATTGTGGAAATGTGGTGGGAATACTTCCAGAAGCAACTATTCAGGATAGAGTTAATAGTCACATTGAAAAATGTGAATTGATATGGAAGAGTCAGCATGGATATTTTTTGAAAGGGAAAATTGTATCTAAATAACTTCCTGAAGCTTTTTGAAGTGGTACAGAGATGCTTAATGAGGGGAATGCCGTTGATCTGGTGTAAATGGACTTCCATAAGGCATTCAATACCATGCCACATAAGAGATTTGTGAGAACAGTCATAGGTAGTGACATAAAAGAGACAGTAGCAATGTGGATATAAAATTTGACTGAGGGATGCAAACAGAAAGTAATGGTTAATGTGTATTTTTCAGACTGGGTGAATGTTTGTCGAGTTCTGCAGGGATTGGAATTGGGATCGTTGCTAGATCCTGTGTGTTTGGAAAAATTTCAAAGTTTTCAGACGACAGAAACCTTGGCAGAACAGTAAATTACGAGTCAAGTGTTGAAATTTAAAAGGATAGTGATATTTTGGTAGATTGGGCGAATGGGTGGTAGATAAAGCTCAATATAGAGAAGTTCTGAAGAAAGGTCACTGGACCCGAAACGTTGGCTCTACTTTACATCCACAGATTCGGCCAGACCTGCTGCGTTTTCCAGCATTTCTGTTTTTGTTTCTGATTTCCAGCATCTGCAGTTCTTTGTTTCATTTTTGTTAGTGAGGTTAGTTGGGCGTCAGTTTAATAGTTATTCAGGAGTTAGACAATGTATTCAAAAGTAAAACTTATCCCGAGCAACAATTTAATTAACTGCAGTGAAACCCTCCGAATTTTGTGACTTAAATGGAGAACTTTGGAAGTTTCAAAGTTGTTCAGGGGAATCTTCAATTTCCTGGGCAATTCCTTTCGAGTCTGTTACAATGGAGATTCCACAGGGTTCCCACATGAAGGTCCCATCTACACTTCAGAAACAAGTGTATCCAACTATCAGAAAATTTGTGCCCATGTCTCCTGCTTCTTAACACAAAAAATACAACGTATAAATTTGATGGTTTTAATTGTTGCTATCAAATTGGGTGGGGCGAGGGAAGACAGCAAAGGGGCAGAGGAGCTTTGATGGGTAGAGAAGAGTTTTGGACTCCTCACTTATGCAATCGTGGATTGTACTAACGTTACTCTTGTAATGAAACTTCAATTGGATAAGTTGATACTGATTTCATAAAGGTTTACATTTGTGTTATCACATCTCATCTATGAAATACTTGAAGTGCAGTACTAAATAAAAACCGAAAGAACGGCAGATGCTGGAGATCTGAAACAAAAACAGAAATAGCTGGAAAAGCTCAACAGGTCTGACAGCATCTGTGGAGAGAAATCTGAATTAACATTTCAGGTCCAATGACCCTTCCTCAGAACTTGAAGTGCAGTGACTGTTATAGAGAGAGACATGCAACTGTTTACACCACTTCACCAGACTGTGGACAGTGTGATTATGATGCTGGCTTCTTGTGTATAGATGTCTGTCATTTTTTTTAAGATTATTAGTTGCTAAATGATGTCTGTTATTTTATGTCAATTTTAAAACCTGTGATTTTTGAAATTAATGGTTTCCTTGTATGTTGTGCCTTCAAGTTTAATGAAGCAGTAATGATCACTTGGTATATTGTTAAATTCTTCCAGTTATGCTACTTGCTGTCCAATTACCCCAAAAATCTCTCTTGTAAAAAAGGTAATGTTACTATGAGACTGTATCATCTAATAAAGATGATAGTGAGAATAAAAGGGAAAACCTGAAAGCTCTGAATTCCCTCATAATTGTCAACACAGCTACAACTCCTGAAAACTTGGCCCTCATGAAAATATCAAGGGGCATCTTGTGGTGCAGTGGTAGTGTCCCTACCCCTGGACCAGAAGGCCTGGATTGACATCCCACTTGATCCGGAGGTGTATAATAACATCTCTGAACAGGTTGATTAGAAAAGTGGGTTAAGTTTTTTTTTTTAAAAAAGTTGAACATCTCAAAAGGAGCCCATGGGGAAATAAATGGAAAGTAAGAAGGAATTCAACTTGAGATGCATACCTAAACCTGATTTGATTTAATTTACCAAGTTAAATCTCAGTCAGGGATGACATTCTTTGGGGAAGCAAGTGAATATTTGTACTGGACACAAAACTTTAAAGCTTTCTTCTCGTTAAATTAAAAGGGTTTTTCCTGATTTTTAATCCAGCCCTCTCGTCTGCTGGGATTATTTAACCATGTTTTATCCAACCTCCTTCCCCACCACCATCACCCCCCAACATCCCAGCAATAATTCAAAATTGCAAACAAGCAATTTTCCTACAAAATTGCTGGTCAACAAATGTCTCAATCTGTTGACTTGGACCCAATTTGACTCTGTGTTGGGTCTGAGCTAGTTCATTTGGAGAGAAGGAACTCAAAAATGTTTAAGGCACAACTTATCAGAACAGAATGAGGTTCAGGCATAAAAACAGCAATAGCTTCACAACACAGAAAAGAAAATTGCTGCTCCAATGACAGGTAGGTCAGAGTACATTACTCACACATGATTAATATCCAGCAGTCAAAGGTGAAGGTACCACTTTTGATGGTAGCGTTGTTTCCAGTGGAGGTCTGCCAAGTGAACCCACAGGGAGTTACTCTATTATCATCAATGTAACAAATGCTCTGAGAATTTGGAAATGGTAGCCTAAATGAAGCATTTCTGTTATGCAGGTCATAATGACTGCAAACATCCTACTGATAAAAGCCTAGTTTGTACCGGTTCAGTTTTCCAAGGTCTCTGAAACTTGCATTTGTAATCAGCACAACAGGCAAGAAAGCACTGTATAAATCTGACAAACCAGATGTGCTAAAGTCAAGCAATTTTAAAAATCAAGAGTCAAGAAGGTCAGAAATGACACAACATCAGGTTGTAGTCCAACAGGTTTATTTGAAATCACAAGCACTCGGAGCCTTACTCCTTCAGGTGTTAGTGAGACAGGTGACATCAGACACAGAATTTATAAGTAAAAGATCAAAGGGTCACACCATTGATGAGGATGTGCACCAATAAAACCTTTAGTTCTCACAGGACAATGACTTGAAAGGAATTCAGGGATTTACATATACATATTAATCAATTAAAACCTTCTAATTAATTAAAGATTTAACAGCATCTTAGGTTTGTTTAGTACATCCTCATCAAATAAATCTGTTGGACTATAACCTGGTGTCGTGTCATTTTGGACCTTGTCCACCACAGTCCAACACCAGTACCTCCACGTCAAAAGTCAAGAAGCAAACACAAATACATTTACAGTCAAGTATGCAGGAAGGCAATGAGACCAACCCTGTGGAATTTTCTCTGGAGCAAGTAAATGTTTGGGGCTGAATAGTATTGATGAGAATATCTCTGAGCATACAGAGCATGAAAAATATACTGACTGGCGTTAAATTATTTCCTTCAGGTGCTGATTCTCAGAGGCCTCAACCTCACATTTGTACCAGTTATTAATCAAATGCAATTGCTTCAGGAACTGGACTTATCCAATAATAAAATTGATCGGATATTAACGCAGTACTTTTATAAACTGACCAAACTACAGACGCTGCGATTGTCAGGTAACAATGTACACTATCTAGTGTTTCAATTAAATGATAAATGTTCATCACTTCTAAAAATTTTCAGGAGTTGTTTCAGTACTTCTAATTCAGCTGTAATGCATTGAAATTATTTGAGTGCAAATTTTTCCAAAGGAAAATAACTATCTCATTACACCCTGTGTTTAGATCGGTAAGTATACAGGGATATTAATAACACAAAACAGTGTGGGCATACCTAATTGAAACATTAGGTTCAGATTTTGATAAGAATAAAGAGCTGAAAATGAAAATATCATCAAGCATTTTAAGACTGTCATTCTTCCACAGTTGATATTTCCCCTCAGTAGTCACTGGGTCATTGACTGCATCAGATCTCAATTTTATTAACCCTTTTTTCTCACCTTTTATCCCACCAGCCATTCTATTATCCTTAATGCATCATCTGCAATAGAATCCCACCACATCTTCCCCCTCAGCTCTCTGTACTCAGGGTACTGCTCTCTCTCATAAACATTCTTTAGTCTTCCACTATCTCTACTTCAAGTTGCTCTTTCCCTTCTTATTATCAACACCTGCAATAAGAATAACACATCCATTTACCTCTTGCCACAGTACTGTCCACTGAGACAGCAATTTGCACTTAATAATTGAACTGTTCCCACCAGATAGGAAGTGGATGTCAGCAACTGACCACCTGATTCACTCCCTACCTAATTTCCCATCTTATTGATTCCTCTTCCAACTCTTTCTGTTCCCTCTTTGTTCTTTATACCAGTGGGTTTGAGAATAGTTGGATAGTAGAAGGTCAGTGATTAAAAGTATAAATCCATGGGCTGGATGCAGAATTGCTCATCTGGGAATAGTGCAGTGGATGTTTTTGAATTTGTTCACAAGATATAAATGTTGCTCGTTTTACCAGCATTTATTTCCCCTCCTTCATTCCCCTTCAGAAATTGATGGTGTCTGTGTGGGTTTCTGCCTAGGTTCTCCGGTTTCCTCCCACAGTCCAAAGATTTGCAGGCTAGGTGGATTGACCATGCTAAATTGCTCATAGTGTTCAGGGATGTGTAGATTAGGTGGATTACAGGGGGATGAGTCTGGGTGGGTTGCTCTGAAGTTTGATGTGGACTTGTTGAGCCGAAGGACCTGTTTCCATGCTATAGGGATTCTATGAATCTGTAATCTATGAATCACCTTCCTGAACTGCTGTCATCCACGTTTAATAGGTATATCCACAGTGCTCTTTGGAAGGGAGTTCCAGCAATTTGACTCAGTGATATATTTCCAAGTCAGAATAGTGTGTACGGCTCGGAAGGGAACTTGCTAGTGGTGGTGTTGCCATGCATCTGCTGCCCTTCTCGGCCATAAAGGTCATGAGTTTGGAAGGTGCTTGTTCTCAGGGTGTATAGTCTGAAAGATTAATACTGAGGGGTGCCTGAAGCACCACTCATTATGGTATTGTCCCATGGATTTGCTGCAGAACACTTCAGGATCTTAAAGAAGACATAACATCCAGACCATACAAGATCTAGTCACCACATGGTGAAGTGTAGACTCTGTTTGACTGCACCTGCAACAATATTGTCAAAGAGCCTTGGAAAGTTGCTGCAGTGCATCTTGTTGATCAGCAGTAGTGCCCAACCTTCTCAGTATCAAGGCATAGAGGGTACATAACCGAGCAAAACACAGCGCCTCACATTTATCTAAATTAAACCCCATCTGCCACTCCTCGGTCCATTGGCACATTTGATCAAGATCCTGTTATACTCTGAGGTACCCTTCGCTGTCTACTACACCTCCAATTTTGGTGTCCTCTGCAAACTTGGTAAACATACCTCCTATGTTCACATCCAAATCAGTTATATAAATGACAAAAAGCAGAAAATGTCTTCCTTTAAATTTTATAATCTTAATTACCTGCCATCTTTTAAGTAGGCATTCGGTAATTTAATTCAGTATCTTCAAATATATAAATCACTTTGTTTTGCTCCCTTATTAAAATGCTTGTTTATATTTTAGTTTTCAATTCTGAAAAATTCTGCTCAAATTAGTAACTCTTCCTCTTCATAGGTGCTGACCTGTTAAAAGACTAAGTATGTTTTTCTAGCATGCCATTATTTTCTTTGTAATGTTTAACAGATCTGATCATTTTCTATTCACGTTTTCATAAGGGAATGTATTCTCTGGTGCATTTACTTTCATGCTTTGGGCTTTCATCAAGCAGATTTGATGTAAAATGGAGTGTGATAACTCTCCTGTGAAGTGCCGTGGGCTGGTTTGCTCCGTTAAAAGCTCTATGAATATGAGCTATTGTTGTGTAACACAGAATTATAGGTGAGAACAAATCTTGAATGAGCTGTCATTTGTTCCTCTCTATTTCCTTTATTCAAACAGGTTTAAAAAAAATTCACACATTCTGACGTCAGGTCAGTAGGCAACACTAAGATGTAGGGGCCCGATTATTGAGTCAGTATCCAACACAGCAATCACCACTACAATGAGAAACATGTGGAAAATGTCATCCTGTCTGCCTGATGAATCTTAGTATTCATTGATTGATGAGACTTTTCAGAAAATATTTACTGTGTGTTAGTTTATTAACCAATGGTTTATGAAAACTATTTACTTACTTAGTCTAATCAATCTATGATTAACCTTTATGATCAAGGTATGATAAATATGGTAATATTTGGAATTAACTACTTTGTTTAAAAAAATCTGCCAACTGTCCCTAACCCAGTTTGACACTTGAATCCTTATGTGTGTGTTTTCCATTTATGTAACAAAAAATGAATCTTCTTTTAACTTTTACTCACTACAAATCTGTGAATTGTTTTTGCAGGTTCAGGAATTACATTTATAAGCAAATCAGCCTTCAACTCTCAAAACAATATGAGATTATTGGATTTGTCCAGGAATAAACTAGTCGCCTTTTCTAGAGAGATACTAAACCCCATCATTCGATCAGTAGGTGGTGCTGTGGACATCAAACTGACTCAAAACCAATTTCACTGTGATGCGAGGATGTGCTCCATGAAGAAGTGGTTGGATTCTGTAAAGGTACAATTTTGCTGCCTAGCTGCAGAATTAATAGAACATTTACATTTAATTTAAAGGAACTGTTGAAAATTAAGTTATCTTTTTCAAAAAGAAAATACTATGAGCTAACTTGAAAGTTTGCATATTAAAACGTTCCACCAGGGCCACTCAACTCCTGATCTCAAACAGTCTTGATCCAATTGGGAACCTAAGAGCTGAATTCCAGAGGTGACCTAGCAAAATTGACATCATTGGGATTCAGATGGGAAAACTCTCCACTAGATGGAATCATACCTGACATTAAGGAAGATGGTTGTGGTTGCTAGAGGTCAGTCATCTAAGCTCCAGGATATTGTTGTCAAGAATTCCTCAGGGTAGAGTCCTACACCAACCATTTTTAGCTGCTTCATAAATGACCTTCCCTTATGATTGCACAATGTTCAGCACTAATTGTGACTTCTCAGACACTGAAGTAATCATTGCCCATATGTTGCAAGACTTGGCTAATATTCAGGCTTCAGCTCACAATTGGCAAGTAACATTTGAACTGCACGAGTGCCAGTTAATGACTATCTTTAAACAATGGAATCTAACCATTTCCCCTTCACATTCAACGACATTGACGAATAATCACTATCAACACCCTCTTGGTTACAATTGACTAGAACCTGAACTGGGCTAGCCATATAACTCCCGTGGCTTCAAGAGTACATCAGAGGCTAAGAATTCAGCAGTGATTAACTCACTCGCTGACTCCCCAGTGCCTGTCCGCCATGTAAAAGTGTGATGGGTTAGTCTCCACCTCCCTGAACGAGTGCAGTTCCAGTAACACTCAAAGTTTATCATTCATCATGACAAAGCAACCCACTTGATGGGGACCCCTTCCACCAATTTAAACATCTGTTCCCTTCACCACCGATACACAGTGGTAACAGTGTATACCTCCTATAAGATGCACTGCAATAACTCACCAAAGCCTCTCAGACAGCACCTACCAAACCTGTGATTTCCAAATGCACAATCTCTGCTACTTAATAGGGCAAGGACAGCAGATACATGCTAACACCACCATCCACAAGTTCCCCTTCAAGCCACACAACAACCTAATTTGGAGCTGTTTTGCTGCTCCTTCACAGTTGCTGGATCAAAATCTTGGAACTCGCTAACAATACTGTGGGTGTAACTTAGTGCAGGTGGTCTAGTGATTCAAGGCAGCCAATCACCTCCTGGACAGCAGTTTGGTAAGGCAGTGATGTTTCCCAGCCCTGAGGTGCCCATACCCCATGAAAGAAACAAAAAGTCCAATGTTTGTTAATTCTTCCTTATCCGCATGCTCTTGCACTTACCTCTAACAATCACCAGAACAGATCTATCGTCCCACACTTGACCTCACTGCAATGAATTAATTCATTCTCAAATATAATAATGCTGCCTGATGTTTCTTCTCCTGGAACTGTGATTCCCAACCATGTTCCTTTTGAAACTCCAAATCCTACATCAAACCTTTACTGAAAATAAAATGCAAACACTCAACCTGCTATAACACACTTTAAAAAGCTACTTTTTCCTGCCGTACATACTTTGTACTACATCTGAGAGCCTCGCTTTCAAGTAATCTATCAGATTCTACATGATGATCCTAAATTCATTGCTGATATTCACTCCTACAATTAGCAAGATTATTATCCTGGAGCTTTATGGTATTATTTATTGTCAGCCATCTCATAAATCTAATGTCTGAAGTGACATGCAGATGGTAATGTCTAGTACAAATAGAGTCATACAGCATGGAAACAGACCTTTTAGTCCAACTCATCCATGCTGACCAAGTTTCCCAAACTAAACTAGTTCCATAACCCTCTAAAGCTTTCCTATTCATGTAACTGTTCAAATGTCTTTTAAATGTAACTGTACCTGTATCTACCACTTCCTCTGGCAGTTCATTCCGCATATAGACCACCCTCTCTGTGAAAAACTTGCCACTGAGGTCCCTTTTAAACTTTTCTCCTCTCACCTTAAAAATATGCCCTCTAGTTTTGAAATCCCCTACCCCAAAGAAAATACTTTTGCTATTCACCTTATCCATGCCCCTCATGATTTTATAATCCTCAATAGGGTCACCCCTCAACTTTCTGCACTCCAATGAAAAAGATCCCATCCTCTTGTTATAATTCAAATCCTCCAGTCCCAGTAACATCCTGGTAAATCTTTTCTGTCCCCTCTCCAATTTAATAATATCCTTCCTGTAGCAGGGTGACCAGCACTGTACACAGTACTCCAAAAGTGGCCTCACTAACATCCTGTAGAACCTCAAGATGACAAGCCAACTCCTATACTCAATGATTGAGCAATGAAGGCAAGTGTGCCAAACACCACCTTAACCATCCTGTCTACCTATGATTCAGCTTTCAAAGAACTATGTATCTGTGCCCCTAGGTCTCTCTGTTCGATAACATTCCCCAGGACCCTACCATTAACTGTATAAGTTTGTCTCATCAAAATGCAACACCTCGCATTTCTCCAAATCTGCCACTCCTCAGCTCACTGGCCCCAACTGATCAAGATCCCTTCGCAATCTTAGATAACCATCTTAGCTGTCAACTATATCATCAATTTTGGTTCAGAGATAGTAGGAACTGCAGATGCTGGAGAATCAGAAGAAGGATCTAGGCCTGAAACGTCAGCCTTCCTGCTCCTCTGATGCTGCTTGGCCTGCTGTGTTCATCCAGCTCTACACCTTTGTTATCTCATCAATTTTGGTGTCAGTTCTGTCCTCCCTCATCAAATTAATACAGTAAATGGAAAAGCCCTGGGGAAAATTGATGCACAGAGAGATCTGGGTGTTCAGGTCCATTGTACCCTGAAGGTGGCAACGCAGGTTGATAGTGGTCAAGAAGGCATACGGCATGCTTTCATTCATCAGATGGGGTATTGAGTACAAGAGTTGGCAGGTCATGTTACAGTTGTATAGGACTTTGGTTCAACCGCATTTGGAATACTGCATACAGTTCTGGTCGCCACATTACCAAAAAGATGTGGATGCTTTGGAGAGGGTGCAGAGGAGGTTCACCAGGATGTTGCCTGGTATGGAGGGTGCTAGCTATGAAGAGAGGTTGAGTAGATTAGGATTATTTACATTAGAAAGACGGAGGTTGAGGGGGGACCTGATTCTGTAGACCTCAATCATGGGAGGTACAGACAGGGTGGATAGCAAGAAGCTTTTTCCCCAGAGTGGGGGACTCAATTACTAGAGGTCACAATTTCAAGGTGAGAGGGGAAAAGTTTAAGGGAGATATGCGTGGAAATTCTTTACGCAGAGGGTAGTGGGTGCCTGGAATGCGTTGCCAGCGGAGGTGGTAGAGGCAGGCACGATGGCGTCATTTAAGATGTATCTAGACAGATTCATGAATGGGCAGGGAGCAGAGGGATAACAGATCCTTGGAAAATAGGCGACAGGTTTAGATAGAGGATCTGGATTGGGGCAGGCTTGGAGGGCCGAAGGGCCTGTTCCTGTGCTGTAATTTTTTGTTCTTAATCTTTTCAGTCTCCTTTCCTGCTTTCTAAATTCATTATTTTCTAATTTTATGCCCTAGTAATATTGTACAAGTCTGTTGTGCTCCTAAACTTTATCTTCTATCACATTATATGCTGTCATAAAATATTTTTCATTGTGAAGATTCAGAAAGACTATGCAATGATCTTTGTTACTTTCTTTGTTGAGTATTAGGATGAGACCGGCATAAAAGAATTGTTCTCTTGAAAATAATCATGTAGAAGCAATCCCTTGGTAAAATACTATGAAAAATAAGCCAGAAGTCAGTCCCAAATGAACACCATGTATATTCCTGATTTCATACAGACCATAATCTAGAACACTTGCTTTTCATGGTTGCAGGTACAGCTCGATATGTTGTGTAACAGTCCTGACAGCTTCAAAGGGCTCTGGATGAGCCAGTTGCCACTTTCTCTTTTTAACTGCTCGAACGAGCCTAATTTTGCATTTTTACCAAAAGCATCTCACGCCATCAAAACTAGTCTTGTTCGTTCATTTCTAGGAAAAGGTAATTACCTGTTCTAGTTCTTTATAAATACATTTAAGTATGATTGCTGTATTTTCACGGCAGCCTTTTTCAATTCAAGTGATTTTTCTTTTGCATTTTATCAGGGATCACTGCTATTGTACTTGTTGCTGCAGCTGTACTCTTCACTCTCTTCCTCGGCCTAATATACTTATCACCAGTGAAGTCAGTTGAGTCATTAAAACACTGTGGCTGCAACAGAGTGGAATCTACTCCACAAGAAAATGATGAGCAAGATACGTGCAGTTCTTTTATTTAATTAAAATAGATGTCATATTTTCAAAATTTTCATCAACAAAAACAATGGTCAATAGAAGAAACTCTGACCTACTACTGTAAAATAAGACAAATTATCCTATATAGCCTTTTTGTTTCTTGCTCTGCATAACACCCTGCATTCAATATTGTAAATGCAGTTTTGGAAACAAATGTTGGTATAAAAATGCAATCTTTCCCAATCACAGGATGTCTGAAGCACTTTGTTAACAATTTATTGTGCAATGAACGGAACAACATGAGGTCAGTTTTAAAGTGGAAAGTAAATTGTAATATTTTACCAGGTAGCTGGTCAGAGTCAATAATTTGTTTTGAAGCACAGCCTTCTCAGCTGTTTCCTGCTCATTGCTACATAAGTAGACAACTTTTCTCATTGCTTTCTGTATACCTAAAGCAAGGTATAATGTTTCATCAATTGTAGAAACTAAGTTTTGGTACAATGCTCTTTTTTACACTTATTTGTAAGTACCTTATCTTAGAAACTTTGTGCATCTGGTTTGTGATTACGTGATGCTAGTTCTCCAAGTGACAGAGAAAGAGAAGTATTCTCAAGAAACTCAAAAATGATATGTTACCATCAATTTTGGGGACTCTTCAGATTTATGCAAAGTGTACACTTACAAGTTTTGCAAAAGGACTTAAATTCTGGAATTGTTGAATAGTGTCTGCAGTGGTGGACAAATGCTTCCCTTGTACAGTAACTCTTTCCTGGGGAGTTTTGCAGGATATGGAGATGCATGGCAGAGGTAATTTTCAGCATTGGCTTGTCTCTAGACCATGGTGTAGATAATGATGGTCATGCCTTGAAGCCCAAGGTCAACCCTGGGTCTAGGCCTCAGCCTCTTTTTAAACTACCTTCCTTCTTTCTTCTGTATATAAGCATGTTAATACTGGACCCTGGGAAGGACTCACAGCTGTAGGCTTCAATTTCACCATCTGGCACTGCAGGAACACCAAAGACTGGGCCAATATTTTTAAAAATCCAAACTGAAAAATAAAATGGCAACAGAACTGGAGTCAACGTAATGCCCATCTGTTCTAACACAGGATTAGCGGGAGGGGGAAAATGACTAATCTAACCAGAGCCTTAAGTAGTTCACCTGTGCTCTGTGTTTCACTTATATTAGCAGTTAACATGTGAATGGGAAGAATACTGGCTGTAAAAGATCTGCCTTGTGCACTGACTGTTTTATGGTTCTATCTCCCTTTTTGATCAGAACAACATTTGAAAAATTTTAAGCTTAAAAAATGTTGAGGTCTATAAAAACACACCTGCTGAAAATCAGTGTGGCTTTTAGCCTCTGACAAAGCAGGAAATTTATTTAAAGAATGTGCTGAACTGTAAAGGCAGCTAAATCAGGCACAAGCTCGTAAAAAACATTCAGCTTTGTTACGAGATTGGGCAAACCATTTTATTTCAATTCCATTATTGTGGAGTTTTAAAATTCTATATGCAGAAGTGCTTTCACACCTGCTGTGGTTCATAAAATCCCTGCACTATGGAAATAGGCCATTCAGCTCAACAAGTCCACCCCTCCAAAGAGCATCCCACCTAAACTCATTCCCCTACTCCTACATTTCCCCATATCTAACCCAAACATCCCTGGACATTACGGGTAATCCACGTAGCCTGCACATCTTTGGACTGTGGGAGGAAACTGAAGGAAACCCCACGCAGACACGGGGAGAATGTGCAAACTCTACACAGACAGTCGCCCGAGGGTGGAATCGAACCCTGGTCCCTGGCACTGTGAGGCAGCAGTGCTACCCACTGAGCCACCATGCCACTCTATCTGTCAGATCTATCTGTCCAATTTGTAACACATTCCATGTGTCCTTTCTGTCAAAGATGAATAGGTTTTTATATACCTGCATGTTTTCAACTCCACTTTGCTACCATCTCAGAGTGTGGTGCTTAGGTTTGGTAAACTGAAGCTTCCGGATTCAACGAGTACATGAAAAAAAAATTTGTTTCTCTGTTGCTTCAGGAAGTTTTCTCAATGAGGAGCTCAATGTCACAGAACATGGACATCCCCTTTCCTGGTCAGGTTCCCTCTTTCTTCACATCCTTCATGGGTCTCAGCAGTCCTTCAATTGTTTATTCAGCTGCCAAGAGTTCTGCCATTTCCTTCCCAAAACATTTCCATATCTCTAATTCTTTCCTTCAGTAAGAGACATTCATTAAATCAAGACTTTTTCACCTGTCCTTATTTCTTGTGTGGCTTACTATCAAAACATTGTTGATAACACTACAAAGTTTTACTTGGTTAAAGGTACGATAAGATATATCAGCACAATAATTTATTTTAGGGTGTCATCATATGCCAGTTGACTGGAGGATCTCATGTGTTGTTTGAGAGAAGAGATCTAATCAGATCCAATAGCTTATAAACCTGAGCAGGGCATTAATTTGTCTTTATAAGGGAATAAAGTTATATGTAACAAATGAGTTTTTAATTTTTTTGAATAATGAATTCATTAATAGATATTTGGCTTTTTTAAGTCTCAACATGGTTTGAGTTCTGCACGTGATAGATGCTGGGGGAGTGGCATAGAGGCTAAGACAAACAGAATGGTGCAAGAGTGACAGCTGGAAGGCTTTTACACAGCACCCCCCCCCCCCCGGAGATATGACCCACCAACACAAAAGCTGAAGTGCTGAGCCACATTTTAAATGCCCGAATTCTGTTCCCAAACTTGGAGCAAAATATTTAGGTTTTAATTTTCAGAAACTTTCTACTCAGTTAATATTGCGCATATTATGATGTTATGCACCCTAAATGGATAAGAACCTCTACAATATTAAAGTACTTCTGAAAAAAAACAAAACCAAGTTATGGACTCAAGAAAATTGTGTTATCAAATAGTACATCCTGTTACCTGCTGTGCAAGTTTGCATTGTAACTAAATAATTTACAATGATTAACTTATTTAAATATTTCCCATTTCACATCCAACATATTTGTAAATCACAATCTGGTCTTTCACATGCAACATAAGTGTGACAGTTTATATATTCAGCAATATTTCAAATGGAGCAACCAATGTTCTGTTATTCTTTCAAATTAACATGTTCCTTCATTGCAATATAAATAATTTATAGCCGCAAAGAAAACAAAAGAACAAAGCACTGTATTCAAAACAACAGGATGCATGTTGTGTTAGACATTAAATTACAAAGTTTTCCTTTCTATCTGATAGCCACATGAGCTAAAGAAGAGCCCTTTCTTTGATGTGGTTCCTTTGATAGTCATCAAGTGAGCTATTTTGTGAACTTGAATGCAATATTAATCCAAAGGAAAAAAAATGAAAGCAACTTGTGTGCTCTTCTTCTGAAATCAAATGCAATCTCACCAAACTAAAATTAATTGAATAAATCTAATCCATAACTATACAGCTTCTGTAAACTCTCTTTATAGGAAAATAAAAGTTTTATTGACCTATTACACATGCAGAAATTGTTGAAAACAATCACAAACTTACCATTCAAATCAAATGAGAATATACAATGGGAAACATAGGATTCTAAACGTGGCACTATACTAATAAGATGAGGCCACAGGTTTACAAATATTCTCTGGCATATTATCAAATATGTGTCCAAAATTTGAAAGAAATAAGGCATTAACATTGGAATAGTGCAATGGAAAGAAGGACACCTTATGGACATACTTCAATGGCCCTACATTGTTAGACAGTACTCATTGCCCTTCATTCGGCAGAAATTAGGTTGTGCTTGTCAAGGAAAGCTACGTCATTTGACACAGGACGTAGTCTGTCCCCTAAACTGCTGCTGCTTCTTTTTCTTCTGTTTCCTTTTTAACTTCCCGATCACCAATTTCATTGTTTTCTTCTTTTGGGCACTCATCTTTTGTGCTTGATTTTTAGCTATTCTTCCAGTAGTCTCTTTCTCTGCCTCCAAATACCTTCTTTTCCGTGGTATTGCTCCTTCACTGTATGCAGAAGAAAATAAATAATGATGAAGTGTCGAATAACCATAAGAATTATAAATTGTGCTAAATGCTCTGGTGCTGGTCCCCCACAGTGCATGTCTGCAGTTAGTGCACAAAAGCCAAATTATGAGCTTGGGCAAACATTTATCAGGTACTTTGCAGATGACCTACTTTGCACTAGTTCTGCTAAAAACTTATAATTTAGGTTCTTTGCATTTGCCCCTATGTCACTGGATCCACCAGGGGTTGTAGTATTAAAAAAAATCAATGGCTCTACGTACTTATTTTGGACCAGACAATATTCATACTGGCTCTGATCAGAGGCTAGATGGACAGACCATTCAGGAGGAAATTTAATGAGGATGTAAGTAAAATGCATCTTTGCATAACAAAGGAGATCAAATCCTAGCTTACCGTGAAGACGCCCTTAAGTGGTTACGATGTTACAATTAAACAGTTTTAACAATTCGAAAGCAGAATGAGATAAGACACATCTGAGGTAAATGAACGGTAGATGGGTGAATGAAGGTGGCCAGGATACCCTGAAGCAATTCACAGCAAATCAAGTTCTTTGATTTTACTTCAGTCAGATTGACACTGCATTATACATCAACGATCTGGATGAAGGAATTGAGGGCATTGTTACTAAATTTGCAGATGACACAAAGATAGGTGGAGGGACTGGTAGTGTTGAAGTGGGGAGGCTGCAGAAGGACTTGGACAGGCTAGGAGAGTGAGCAAAGAAGTGGCAGACAGAATACAATGTGGGAAAGTGTGAGATTATGCACTTTAGTAGGAAGAATAGAGGTGTAGACTATTTTCTAATCTGAAGTACAAAGGGATTTGAGAAAATCCTGAACTAGGACTCTTAAGAATAACAGAGATAGTAGGAACTGCAGATGCTGGAGAATCTGAGATAACAAGGTGTAGAGCTGGATGAACACAGCAGGCGAAGCAGCATCAGAGGAGCAGGAAGGCTGACGTTTTGGGCCTAGACCCTTCTTCAGAAAGGACCCCTAGGACCCTTTTCTGAAGAAGGGTCCAGGCCCGAAACGTCAGCTTTCCTGTTCCTCTGATGCTGCTTCGCCTGCTGTGTTCATCCAGCTCTACACCTTGTTATCTCAGATTCTCCAGCATCTGCAGTTCCTACTATCTCTAATCCAGATAAGTGCTGTGATTACAGGAGCACGTCAGGGGTTAGGAAACCTTCAGTGAGTAACTCACCTCCCGACTCCCCAAAGCTTGTCCACCATCAACAAGACACAAGTCAGGAACGTGGTGAAATACTCTCCACTTGCCTGGACGTGTGCAGCTCCATCAACACTCAAGAAGCTTCACATCATTCAGAACAAAGCAGCGTGCTTGACTGGCACCACATCTACCACCTTCAATATTTACTCCCCTCACCACAAATGCACTGTGGCCACAGTGTATACCCAAAACCACAATCTCTAGAAGGACAAGGGAAGCAGATGCATGGAAACTAGCTTCCTTACAGAATCATGGGTGACCCATACCCAAGAACTGCATATGGTTAGAGAGATGTTTAAGGGATTAGCAAGCAAAATGGAAGGCTAAAAGGTGTGCAGCAAATTGATAGGAAATGGACAGCAGATGAACTTTTGGGATGTGCAATGGTGTGGCTTTGGTTTACTCTCTAAATAATTTAGAACTGAAGAGTGAAGAATTATACAGACATTTTCTATTGAAAACAAATTACAAAGCATAACAGAGTGTAACGCACGTTTGAGGATGGAGGCATAGATAGGAGTCTAACATGCAGCAACGATATTGGGAATGATAAACTATATGTTTACTTTGCTATTGTGACCTGCAAAACTCCATAAAAGTATAGGAGTCCATTATGTTCATGACGGTCAGTCAGCCATTTAATTGTGACTATTGGGACAACAGGAAATGACAAATCACCTTTTTGTTTAATTATATTAATATTTTAAAAAGTCAAGGAACATTGACAACTCACAAAGTGGTCCTTTTTAGGATTGCTGTGCGAGGACATTCTCTGCGTTTATGTTCAGAGCTTCCACAAATAAAGCATCCTTCTCCAGCTTTCCCACAAGAGTGCTCCTTAAGGACACACCGACAACAGGTGTCACAGTGAATCCAGGCTGGAAAAAACAAAATTACTGCTTGGTACAGTGTGAAACTGTAATTTAAAAATGACATAATCATTTTGACAATGCTGTGTCATGTTTTCCTTTTTAATAACTGATAGATATAAACCAGCTTTGCAAGATCCTGCTGTTCAAAACAGGGTTTTGTTTCAACGGTGAAAGTCGCAATAAGCACTTGTCACTTCAAATGTGGCAGTGACATCAAAATGTCTGGTGCAGGATTTTTCTAATGGCAGCCTGCTCCCGTTTGAGAAGCAGGATGGCAGTCTCCAGATCCAAGCAGGGTAACCTGCTGACAGTCCCTCCTGCCCTGGATCTCCTCCTGCCAACCTCAAGACCAAGACTGTGCAGAAGGTGGACTTTAAACGGTTTGTGATTGGGGCCCCAGGTAAATTTGCATTCAGGTTATAGGTGGGTGTGAGGGCCACCTGAGGAGTTTTAACATGGATAGATTTAAAATGAACACATTTGAATTGTAAAAGAACCTTATTAAAGTATTCTGAAAAATAAAGTGTGATTGCACTCCAAAGCATTTTTAAAAATGAATTCCAGATAATAAATTATTGAAATGCAACATCTATCAGAAAACTTTTTGTTAAACTAGTACATCCCCAGTAAGTGTTTTCACTTGTGGCCTTGGGCACCATGTTTTACTCCCATCATGATATGTGAAATAGGGAGAAAATATATAAAAAGGACTGTGCTAAAATACAAATAAAGTATAATTAAGGTTCCGTAATTTAACTTCAGTGCAACTTTTTTTAAACTTGGTTCTCATCTATACCAAGACCTCATCCTATCCATGATATAACTATCCGTAAAAGTATTATTAAGATATTCTGTTAGCTCGGTATCAAGGTTTAGAGTCAGATGAATTCTATGTGCTATTTATTCAAGCAAATGTGGATATTCCGTATCAGGTATAGTGTTAACCCCATCCTCCACCATATTACACTTACCTCCTGTAACCAAAATGGTATATATTAAATTAGGTTCCCCAACCTCTGGACTTAATATGTTCTCACGCAAATCAACAGAACCCTGCTGCTACAATACGTGCAATACTTGGTGCAGGTCATCAGTGACTTTAACAGCACCTCCCAGACTGAAATCTCTATTTTCAAGGACAGGAGCAGCAATTCTATGGGATTATCATGACGTTCAAGTCTCTCACCATCCTGAAGTGGATATACTTTGCCACTGTTTCACTGCTACCGGGTCAAAATCAAGCAACTCCCTATCTAAGAGCCTCTCTAGCTTTACTTCATGGATGACAGGAATGCAGTGAGAAGACCCATCACCACCTTTCCAGGCCAACATAAACTTTGCCTCATTACTACAACCAACATCCCAAGAATAAACAAGAAGATTAATTTACAAGAATTAATAACAAAATTCCTTAATAAAAGAAAAAAACTGAGCATTATTCTGAACAGAAATCAATAAAGTTTTCCAGAGCTAGTTAGCCAATTTGTTAGTCATGTTATTCATGCGGATTAAATATTCTTGTATGTTGAATACTGCACATCTAGTATGCAGAATTGGGAAACTATATGATGATTGGATATGGCATTCTACTCACATGGTTTTACACATCTGTTGCACGTCTTACAGTGTTTCCATTGCCTACCATCCTATTGGGAAAGCAAAACAACATTAATCTAAACCAGAAACTTTATAAAAATACATTTTAGAACAGAATACTGAAGGCTATCATTTAAGTTCCCAATCATAAGATTAAAAGCGATGAGAAAATTACAACACGAAGAAGATCCTTCAACTGCACCATTTCTCTGGTTAGTGTAGGACAAGGGGTTCAGTCTGTGTGATGCAAAATCACAATCTCTCTCTCGAAGCCACCATAAGGTGTCTCTTAAGTAAAGTAATTTCTTGTCTCAGCAATACCTGCAAATACTCTTTAGCAGCACGAGACCAAGAATATCATACTTATAACTCCATTGTTGCAAATTTATCCATTCACACTTCAGATGTAATTTATACAGAAAGTTCTTTGTCCACACATAAACTCCAACCAAAGTGACAGCTAGCTATTCCAAACCATCACCCACATCATTCTGAAGACAGACACAAGTGTGCCTTACAGTGTCTTTCCTAACTTTCCCTTCCTTTTCCAGGCATGTTATTTCCTTCTGGCCTTTGGTGCAAACCTGACCTGCCCCAGGTAAATTTGCATTCAGGTTGTAGGTGGGTGTGATGCTACCTGAGGAATTTTAATATGGATAGATTTAAAATGAACACATTTGAATTGTAAATGAACCTTATTAAAAGTATTATTTTGAAAAATAAAGTGTGATTTGCACTCCAATGCATTGTTAAAAAATTAATTCCAGATAACAAATTACTGATAATGCAACATCTGTCAGAAAGCTTTTCTTTAAGCAAACACATCCCCACTGAGTGTTTTCACTTGTGACCTTGGGCACCACTTTTTACTATGCGATAGGCATTTCCTACTGAATGAAATAGTGAGGAAAAGTATAAAAAGCAAAGTGTGCTAAAATACAAGTAAAATATGATTAGGTTCATGATTGGAAAAGATTGGGAAAGGAGTAAATGGGAGATTGTAAATTCAAAATCACAAAGATCAGACCTGGTTCTTGGATCATGGATCAAGTACTCTCTGCAATCAGGAGGTAAATCTTAAGTGAAAACAAGGGCCACAAGTGGCACAGACAACAATTTTCCAGGTTATGGTCATGGGGTTAAGTACTCAAAATAAACTAAAGAGTATCTCCAAAATAAGGAACAGCTGTGAAGTAAAATGACATGCAAATGTTAAATGGGGACTATTTAAAGATCCCAGTTAAACTGAGACCATCACAGAGGAAGCCATTTATGCAAACTAATTAATTTCCACTACCAGTTATAATTGTTTGGCATTTAACCAGCATAGATTCAGTAACAATTCAGGTAAATAATGAAGATCATTTATAACTGGTAGAGCAAACCAAACTAAAAAAAATCGTAGAAATAGATGTTTTTGATTGAAGGTCGACTGTCATTAATCATGCAGCTGCAGCCTGTTAGCATGGAATGCCGACTGTTTTGTAAAACTCGGATAACTGATCATGCTGCATTTCAGTGTTGAATTTACCAACGTATCAAATTCAAAACCAGTTATCATAACCACAAACAACAAAAAAACATTTACCCTTTCACTGGCTCTAAGATACAGAGCTTCAGTCCCTAGTTTGCAATGTCAGAGTACTATGTAAAGGGTCAAAAGTAAATGCTTAAAATTCAATGGAAATATTTCCAACACTTGCAGTGAAAGAAATAGTGGAAACATTTTCACAGAACTGTACTCCCATTTCAAAACATCATTGCCCACATTATATGTGTGTCCAGAGCCTTTGGTTCCACCACCCAGATGAAATGACTAAATGCATTCTAAAGGAATACTAATGGCTGCAATCATTCAGCTCAGATGCAGTAAAATAATTTTACTGGTGTTTTCTTTTTGATGACTTGTGCCATGGGTTTTAAATCACATTGAGAACCTAAAAGGCAGCACAGTGGTCAGCACTGCTGCCTCACAGCACCAGGGACCTGGGTTTGATTCCACCCTCAGGCGACTGTCGGTGTGGAGTTTGCACATTCTCTCCATGTCTGCATGGGTTTCCCCCTACAGTCCAAAGACGTGCAGGTTAGGTGGACTGGCCTTACTAAATTGCCCATATTATCCAGGGATGTGCAAGCCAAGTGGATTAGCTGTGGTAAAATGCAGATATACAGGGATAAGGTAGCAGGGTGAGTCTGGGTGGGATGGTCTTCGGAGGGTCGATGTGTACTTGATGGGTCAAATGGCCTGCTTCCACACTGTCGTGATTCCGAAGTAAAATGTAAGACAATCAGTGAATCATGCTTTCAAACCAGGTCAGCTATCCGATAGTTGCCAGATTAAGATAAGATTTAGTGGCTCTGGAACAGGGTTTGGAGGGGGCCTGAAGGACAACGGTTTCAGTTTGTTTGATATTTGGTTCGTGGAAATTTCTGCTCATTTGGTATTGGATGTTGTCTGTGTATGTGCAAAAATTGACCCAGTTTTCTGAGTTTATTGATGATGTTTCAGAGGGGTAATACATTAATGAGAAATGGGAGGTGGGGTATACCAGAGGTAACAATGCAGAATCCATTGCAGGTTATTTTCTACCTACATTAGACAAACAAGAATGAAACCAGGCAACTATAATTCTACCCAGCTAGAGAGGCATTGGAGGAGGACAGAGTGGTCAAATGGTTTACAGGCTGCAGACAGATCGAGAAGGATGAGGAGGGAAAGTTTACCTTTAGAACAATCATATCAAAGTCACAATGACAAGAACCATTTCAGTACAGTGTACAGAGAACTTCAGGGAAGATGCACAGGGATTTGGACACCAACACTTTCAAAAGACTCTGGAAAGAGAGGTTGGAGATGGGGCACTAAGTTACAAGGGCAGCAGGGTCAAGGGTTGATTTTTTATGGAGATGGATTATGATAGCAGATTTAAAGGAGAGAGGGACAACGCTTGACAGAGAAAACAGTTAACAATATCTGTTAATGTAGCAGCCAGGATATGTAGGTGGTCAGTATTTATTGAAAATAGGGCTATGGGAGCAGGTCATGGGTCACATGAGAGGGCATGATGGCAAAGACCAGAGAAATTTTTTAAAAAATGAACATTTACAAAGGACCAAAGTATCTAAAGTCAGTCCTTTAGCTTCTATCTACTGGAGTTGCCAAGGCAGATATCCCAACATTCTAGGTTCTTAGTATTTTGCTATATTCACTGTGATAACTTACCAAAATTGTTTAATATGTTAAATCATAATGAAAAAACTAAAATTATCTCCAAACCAGTGTCACACAGGTAAAAGCTTGCTTACTTTAGATGTGCAGGCCTGGCATATCTCACAGTGTCTGTTTGCTGAGGATACATATCGTTGACAAAGTGAACAAAACCTAGAGAAAAAGACTGGAATTTGTAAAAATGCAACTTTAAAACCAGAAAATACACATTTACACCTTTTAAATCCTGAAATATTTCACCTTGAGCAAAATGGACTGAGTTTCTTGGTTAAAGTTAACTTATGAGTCGCAAAGACAAGTGGCTGTCGTTGAAGTAGATACAAAATTGTCATATGACAGTACTAAATTCTTACCTGTTTGATCTTGTACATATATTTTGTTACATATTATCATATACTCAAACATAGAAGGAACAAGTCTTCCTGTCTAATTCTTGGTTTGTTTCCCCACTATCAATTCAGAGTAAGCCACTGTTATATGTTGCAAGGACATAAGAACCCTTTTTGGGAAAGTGAGAAGCTGCTGTCTTGATATTTGTTACTTGACGTAGAATATGAAACGCTTCAATTACAATCGTTTTGACTCTTTGTTAGAAGAGTTTGTTGTAAGAACCATTTTCCTCAGTTTGTCACTTTGATTCAGAACATCCAAGTTAAAGGCAGTGTATTAGAACATATACATTTCACCAGGTGCTACTTACCTGTACCCTTCTTCTGCAGGCAAAGTGATATCTTTTGGAGGAAGGTTGGTAAATATGCGAACTGGAGACTGTTTTCGTCCTGTTTTCCCATGTTTATATAATGCATGATTATCATAATCCACCTAAAATAAAATCATGATTATTAACTTTCAGGTACCTTCTATTCTTTTAGTTTATCTGAACTGAATTCCTCTACGAATCATAGAGTCGCTACAGTGTGGAAACAGGCTCTTCAGCCCAACAAGTCCACACCAACCCTCTGAACAGTATCTCACCCAGACCCATCCCCCTACCCTTTCCCTGTAACCCTGCATTTCCCATAGCTAACACACCTAATCTACACATTCCTGAAAAACAATGGGCAATTTAGCATGGCCAATCCATGTAGCCTGCACATCTTTGGACTGTGGGAGGAAACTGGAGCACCCGGCAGAAACCCGAGGAGAATGTGCAAACAGTCGCCTGAGGATGGAATTGAATCCAGGTCCCTGGCGCTATGGGGCAGCAGTGCTAACCACTGAACTGTGGCTATATGAACACTTTTTGTTGTTCTAGTGTCCCAAAAGGAACTACATATAATCTACATAAAGAAAAACAAAGAACAGTACAGCACAGGAGCAGGCTCTTTGGCCCACTAAGATTGCGCCAACACATGATGCCTTTTGCCTCTATGCAGTCTGTATCCCTCCATTCGCTGCCTAAAGATAGCTATCAAGATACCTTTTAAATGTTGTGACTGTATCCATCTCAACTACTTCCTCTGGCAGCGCATTCCAGGCACTTACCATCCTCTTGTGTGACAAACTTGCCCCCCTCACATCTCCTTTAGACTTATCCCCTTTGACCTTAAACCTATGTTCCCTAGTAACTGACATTTCTAATCTGGGGAAAAAAAAACTGACTAACATGCTATCCATGCCCCTCAAAATTTTGCAGACTTCTATCAGGTTGCCTCTCTTCCTGCGATGTTCAAGTGAAAACAAACCAAGTTTTACCAATCTCTCCTCATAACTAATACCCTCCAAACCAGTCAACATCCTGGTAAAGAGATAACAAGGTGTAGAGCTGGATGAACATAGCAGGCCAAGCAGCATCATAGGAGCAGGAAGGCTGACATTTTGGGCCTAGACCCTTCGTCAGAAATGGTAAACCATTTCTGTACCATCTCCAAAGCTTTTACACCCTTCTGGTAGTGTGGCGACCAGCACTGTACACGATATTCCAAGTGTGGCCTGAAGTTCTATACAGCTGCAGCACGACTTGCCAATTTTTATACTCTATGCCCCTGACCGTTGAATGCAAGCATGCCATATGCCTTCTTGACCAATTTATCCACTTGTGTTGCCACTTTCAGAGAACTGTGGATTTGTACACCTATCTCGCTCTCATTGTTGAAGCAAGGAAGGGTTCTGCCATTTACTGTATACTTTTATCCTGCATTAGATCTCCCAAAACGTATCACCTCACATTTGTACGGATTGAATTCCATCTGCCATTTCTCTGCCCAAATCTCCAGCCTTTCTCGATCCTGCTATGTCTTCTGGTAATCCTCTTCACTATCCATAGCTCCCCCAGTCTTTGGGCTGTCTGCAAACATATTAATCAGGCCACCTACATTCTCCTCCAAGTCACTAACATACATTGCAAACAACAAGAGGTCCGAGCACTGATCCCTGCGGAACACCGCTGGCCACAGATCTCCAGTCTCAAAAAAACACTTTCACCTCTACTCTCTGTCTTCTGTGACTAAGTCAGTTTGGAATCCATCTTACCAACCTACCACAGATCTCATGTGACTTCATGTTTTGTATCAGCTATTAGGGACTTTGTCAAAGCCTTACTAGAGTCCATATACAGGTATTTCTGCTATAATACATGTTTCGTTAATGTGAATTGGCTGTAACACGATTGATGGATAGCGGGCGCTGTTAGGATAATGCAAACTTTCTGCTGTACAGGTATAGCGAGTTCCCTATAACGCAATTTTCTATCACGATTTTCTACAGCGCGAGGTCACCCAAGCACGCAATAGTCGTGTTGTAGGAGAAATACCTGTATATGACAACATCTACCACTCTTCCCTCGTCAATAATCTTTGTTACTTCCTCAAAAAACACAATCAAGTTTGTGAGACATGACTTTTCCTGCACAAAGCCCTGCTGCCTTTTGCTAATAAATCCATATTTTTCCAAATGTGAGTAAATCCTATCCCTAAGAATCTTCTCCAAAAATTTCCCTACTACTGACTCAATGGCTCATAATTTCCCGGATTATCCCTGTTGCCCTTCTTAAACAAAGGAACAACTTTGACTACTCTCCAGTCCTCTGGGACCTCTCCTGTGATGAAAGAAGATACAAAGATTTCATACAAGGCTTCCGCAACTTCCCCACCTGCCTCCCTCAGCATTCTGGTATAGATCCTATCTGGTCCTGGGGACTTGTCTACCTTAATACTTTACAAAACACCTAGCACCACCTCCTTTTTTATGTTGACAAGATTTAGAACATCACCATACCCCTCCCGAGACTCACCATCTACCATGTCTTTCTCCTATGCGAATACCGATGCAAAGTATTCATTAAAGGCTTCACCCACTTCTTCTGGCACTGTGCATAAATTCCCTCCTTAGTCCTGGAGTGGACCCACCCCTTCTCACGCCACCCTCTGCTCCTTATATATGTAAAAAACGCTTTCGGATTTTCTTTTCCAGATTCTGAGAATTCAGAAAAATGTCTACATTGCCAAACAAAAGACTTCGCCTGGCTAGGTTTTATTTAAAAAACAGCAAGCTGACTCCTGCAAACAATGTTGAAGGGCAACATTTTATGGTATCCATCAAATTTCTTCCTGTCTATAATCAGCCATAAATGAATGAATTGACTCAGTCACGACCTACCAGCCACGCAGTTGTTATCTCAGTTTTACATTCAGCCTCAAATAAAAATTTTCTCTGATATCCTCCAGGTCTAAAGTATGAAACTGCAGTAGCAATTGCATGTACCACTATTATTTTGAACAGTTGAGTCAACATTTTCAATTCGTACCACAGCTTCCCCTGTTAAGAGCACACTGCAATCTTTTA